GAGCAAAGTCGATACGAATATTAAATTTTTCTAGAAAGTCTATACCTAGTACGCAAGGTAACGCGAGTGGTGTGAATAACCTTGCTGTCACGAGTTGTTCACGATTGTGGAGCTGTATCGGGATCTCCACCTGCTCCTTCACCTCCTCTAAATGTCCTGTGGCTACTATCACCGGTGTCTTTTCGATACTTTTGAACGAATAATTCTGACTACGCAATAGTTCGGCTAGTTCCGTCCCGATAAAAGTTCTACTAGAACCTGAGTCGACTAACGCTAGTACCGTGTGGCCTGCGATTTTAATTTCTACGAACGGTAATATACTCGAAGAGGATGACTTCAAGGGACTACAAAATAGGTCGAAAGATTCGGACGTCGCAATCTTGCTTCGCGATACTGGAGGCGACCGCGTCCGATTCGGCGCTCTCCTTAAGCGTTTCCCGTACACCTAGGACAAGTGTTGCACGTAACCCCATCGCGACCACAGCGATAACAAAACCTTTTACGCGTATCCTCACAGGCACTATAACGGTGGCCGGTTTTACCACAATTCCAACACGAGAAAGAAGTTGACGGGGTTTCGGTACGGTCGCGGTGTGCGTCAGCCTCGGTATCTGTGGTCGACTGCTTGGAAGCCGTCGATCGTCTAGGGTCCCTATTACTCGAACGTTTCGGTGGGTTGTCGCGACTTCCGCCTGGCGTCGATGATGCTGGTCTTTTATTATTGTTTCCATTTGCACCGCGTCTATCACGGGGCCGAGTCGAGTCGCGGGGATAACTTTTCGAATTTCCGTAACGGGACTTATCGCGAGAAGTACTAGGTTCGTCCTCCGGGACGGGATTAGGAGGCGGATTCGTTAGATCTAACGCTGCCATAGCCGATTGTGTGTGGTCACGCTTAACTTTTCCGTCACGATATGCTAAAGCCGGAAGAAGGGACTGGTCGGGCGAGGGAGGCTCACGGTACTGTCGCGAGAGAGAAAAAGTTCGTTCGACGCATTTCGCGATACTCGTTAAAGTTCGCATGTCGGTAGCATCGCGCGGTGAGATGGCTACTTGGTAACGCGGTAGGAGGTTTCGGTGTGCATAGGCAACCTGTTCCTGGTCGGTCCAGGGCGGATCTAATCGACGAAACATTGCACGGATGCACGTAAGGTAGTCCGCAATAGGTTCGTTCTTGCCTTGCGTACGTCTAGCAATTTCCTCCCGCAGGGCTACCTGAAAATCTGAATCGCTGAACCGAGCGCGTGCCTCTGATACGAAATCCGGCCAATCGCGGAAATATTCGCGTTCGTCACGGAACCATAAGAGGGCAACACCCGATAGGAAAAGAGGCATACATCGTAATAGATCGTCGTCCGATACTGGGATAATTTCGCGACCTTCCTCTACGCGAGTAATAAATTCCTCGATATCTTCACCGCGTTTTCCCGAGAATTTCAACTCCCATTTCCTCATAGCGTTATATGCAGTAGTCATAGTGGTGGTGTCTAGCGCTAATGTTCGGTCTCCGTTAAGAGTGCGGTCCGTCGACCTACCCGATGAAGGAGTTCGCATTGGATCGCCTTCGTGCGCGGGATGTATCGTAACACGACGCGGCGAGCTTCCTTGCTCGTCGGGACTATTTTCTTGTGGTTCCGACATTCTATTAATCGGCGATAAGTCTATCGATGAGTTAATACGATCGGGAGTTCCTGGGGACGATAATTCGCCACGTCCGAACTGTAAATGCCTGATTAAACGAACTCTCAATACCGGGGTAATTCCTCGAATTGAAAGATTCCTACGGCTAAGTTCGATTTCTAATTCGCGACGGGTAAGCAGGAACGTCCAAGCGTCGTCGTTAGCAGCGCGAGACATACGCCGTCAACGTGTCGGTACGCGGGCGCTCTAACGTTATAGAATATTCTATACCACGTACTATACTGTAGAGTAGGCGATACTGGGACTCTACTATACCACGGCGACACTATAGCGTCCTAGGTTCTGCCTATCCTTTGTCCGGGCGGCTAATGTAAACAAACCGTGAATCGAGGTAATCCTTACTAGGTACCTGTTACTATGCGCGAACGTTAAATATTTGGTTGGTTCTCAATCTTATATTCACAAGGTTGCTTCTAAGGGTAAAGTCATACTCTCGAGATTTTCAATGGCGTGGCCCCACGTTGGGCGCCATTTATTTGTGACGAAAGTCACAAATTACAGTCCGCCTTACTTTTCCCCAAAACCCGGGAATTTGGAATAGGAAATGCTCATGGGCAAATGCTCAATAGCAAATGCACACCGTTGTGCCACGGGACGATAAAAGTAAGATTCCGAGGGAAAGAAGGGAAGTTGTCCAGGCTAGACAGAACGCAACGAGATAGTAGAGGGGCGGGGATCTTACAGATGGTATGTCGAATAAAGACTGAGAACTTCCAATTACCATTAACAAAAATAACAACGGGCCCTTTATTTTGGGACTTATACGAATTAACAACGATATCAAAATATAACAAAAGAAATGGTAATTCCGCTAACAATGATACGTAAGCCACGCGATACGAAGTTCCTTACGGGACGCGTGGATAAACGATAAACGATGTGATTTTAAAAGCTAACGGGCGTGACTAAATCCGCGGCCGATACGGAGTTACGCGTACGAAGGTCGACGCTATCTACGCCCTGAGACGTAGTTATTAAACACACGATTCCGGCGAATGACGGAACGGATCAGTCGAGTGGCGGAATTTACAGGAATTATCAAACATAAAGAATAAGGAACCTTCTAGCTCACACAGGATAAATAATATACTATAGTACTATACGGAACTCTAGAGACAAGTAGGGAAATAGTTACAGATGCATAGAGATAATAATTACGTATAGGGAATAACAATATCTTATTTGAGACCGTAGGGTATTCCACAATATAACTTACTAATTAATTCTACGTCCTACGAGCCTATCACGGGAAGCGTGATAGACAGATTCTCTAACATTCTCCAGGGTCACCAAGAGTAATACGATAGCCGAAATGTACAACATACGACAAATTACAATAAATAAGTAGTTCAAACGGTAGGCACGGAATCTTTTCCCACTGCACGCTAAGCGATCTTCTCCTAGGCCAAAACCGGGAGGAAAGTAGTAACGCGATACAAGTTGGCAATTAGATGGAAAAGATTTCGTCCTCTCGACGACGAGACGCTTACCGTGAACGATACAAAGGATTCTTCAACTAATATGCGGAACGCACCACCGGCCAAGACGGCTAACTACTCGAGAATGGAATTCTTCCGGGAGTTCTTCGGGACTCGGGGCCAGCGCTAGCTCCCTCATCCCCGCCGGGCCCTCCTGGGCCAATCGTCGCCGTCGAAGGTACTCGCCAATTGTAGGCCCTCGCGCTAATTTCAAAACGTGCTACTGGATTCAACTATATTTTTCGATAATGGTAATAATCATTTCTTATCAATTTGACCCTACGAGAAGGACGCGGGACGATATAACGTCTATAACCGGAACCTCTTGTAAACGGAGGACGGTTCCGCTAACTAATTCTTAATCCTAGTCCTCGCGACGGATCCTGTTCGCTGGACTCG